AACCTCTGCCTCCCAGGTTCAAGTGATTCTCCTGCCTCAGCCTCCCAAGTAGCTGGGATTACAGGCATGCACCACCATGCCAGGCTAATTTTTGTATTTTTACTAGAGACAGAGTTTCTCCTTGTTGGTCAAGTGGGTCTCAAACTCCCAACCTCAGGTGATCTGCCTGCCTCGACCCCCCAAAGTGTTGGGATTACAGACGTGAGCCACTGCCCCCGGCCAGGAATTGTTTTCTTAATTTCCTTTTTAGACTATATACAGATACAAAGCTGACTTTTTGTGTGTTGATCTCATACCCTACAACTTTGCTGACTTTATTGTCTGTAGTAGTTTTTGTCTTATTTTGTTTTTTGAGGATTCATTGTTCTTTTCTTTTCTTTTCTTTCTTTGTTTATTTTAAGAGCTAAGGTCTTGCTTTGTCCCCCAGGCTAGAATGCAGTCATGCGATCGTAGCTCACTGCAGACTCAAACTCCTGGGCTCAAGCCATCCTCCTGCCTCAGCTTCCCGAGTAGCTACTTCGTGAGTACTACCAGGCGGACACCACCACTAATGTTTTTTTTATTTTCTATAGAGATAGGTCTTGTTATGTTGCCCAGGCTGGTCTCAAGCTCCTAGCCTCAGGCAATCCTCCTGCCTCAGCCTCCAGAGTAGGGGAGACTACAGGGCATGTGCCACCATGCCCAGCTAATTTTTTAAATTTCTTTGTAAAGACATGGTCTTGCTATGTTGGCATTTTCTACATACAGAATCATGCTGTCTGTAAATAGAGTTTTACTTCATTTCCAATTTGGATGCCTTTTATTTCTTGCCTAATTATCTGTCTAGAGCTTCTGATACAAAGTGGAATCCCATCAGTGAAAGGAGGCATCTTGTCTTGTCCCTGGTCCTAGGGGAAGGCTTTCAGTCTTTAACCTTTGAGTGTGATGTTAGCTGTGGGTTTACCATTAATGTCCATAATCGTGTTGGAGTAATTCCATTGTATTCCTATTTTTCTGAATGTTTATTATCATGAAATGCTGTTGGTTCTTGTCAAATGCTTTCTCTGTATCATTTGAGATAATTATGTGGGGTATTCCCTTCATTCCTATATTGTGCCCTGTACACTGATCAATTTATGTATCACTGAGGGGAATCACCCTTAGATTCCTGGGATAAACCCCAGTTGGTCTTGGTGTATAATCCTTTTAATATTCTGTTGGAGTCAGTTTGCTAGTTGTCGGGGGACCAGCCCAGAAACAACCTAGGAGGTAACAAGGGTCGGCGGAGACAAAGAATATTAAGAGACAAGAGTGAAAGTGCATAAAGGTGGACTCCCAGGGAGCCGACGTGAGTAGGAGGATGCGAAGGCCCCAGCACTGAAGATCCACACTGTTTATTGAGTGCTTAAACAAAGAAGCATGTGGTCAGGGATGTGGGGCGTGAAAAGGAAGGGAAGCATCAGGCAGATGATCTATAGCTGTGGAGGTCTGGCATTTCCTTTGAAGGTATAGAGCATGCTCTACTTTAGATACAGTCAGTAAACAGATAGGGAAAAGGCTGCAGCTAGAGGCAGCAAGCCTGGCCACATTCTGTTTGCTTCAGAGAGGTCTTCCTTTATTCAGCACAGAGCATGGTCTTCCATTAACTCCCATCCTGTGCCTGATAAGCAAGTCATGCATCAACCTTTTTCTCAACAGCTAGTATTTGTTGAAGATTTCTGCATTTGTATTCATAAGAAAGAGTGTTCTATAATTTTCTTTTCTTGTCATTTCTTTGTCTTGTTCTGGTATCAGCATAATGCTGGCCCCATGAAATGAGCTATAAAATACCAATCCTCTTCTGTTTTTTGGAAGAGCTTGAGAAGAATTGGTGTTAATTCTTCCTTAACGGTTTGGAAGCCATATAGTCTTTGACTTTTTTTGTTCAAAGGGAGATTTTTGATTATTGATTCATTTTACTTGTTATAAGTCTATTGAGAATTTTAATTTTTTTATTGAGTTAGTTTTGGTAATTTGTATATTTCTAGGAAGTTTTCCATTTCATGTAGGCTATGTAATTTGTTGGCATTTGTATTCTCTTATAAGCTTTATTTCTATAAGGCTGGTAATCATGTTTCCACTTTCATCTATGTGTGTCCTTTTCTTGGTAGTCATTCAAACTCAGTTTCTTAATTTTATTGGTAACTAACATTTTGTTTCTTCTTTTCATTTTTATTTTTAAAAATAGAGACAGGGTTTCTCCATGTTGGTCAGGCTGGTCTCAAACTCCTGACCTCAGGTGATCCACCTGCCTTGGCCTTCCAAAGTGCTGAGCTTATAGGCGTGAGCCACGCTGCACCCTGCCACATTTTGTTTCTTTGAACTGACTTTCTATGTTTTCTATTCTCTATTTCATGTCCTCTGCTCTAATCTTTATTATCTTCTTCTTTCTACCAGCTTTGGATTTAGTTTGTGCTTCTTTTGCTAGGCTGACAAGTCATAAAGTGAAGTTATTGATTTGAGATGTTTCTTCTTTTTAAAACAGGCATTTCTAACTATAAATTTCCCTCTGAGCACTGCTTTTACTGCACTCCCTAAGTTTTATTGTGTTATGTCTTTGTTTTTATTTCAATTTATTTTTGAGATGGAGTCTTGCTCTGTCACCAGGCTGGAGTGCAATGGCCCAGTCTTGGCTCACTGAAGCCTCCACCTCCCGGGTTCAAGCCATTCTTCTGCCTCAGCCTCCCGAGTAGTTGGGACTACAGGCATACACCACCACGCCCAGCTAATTTCTTTTCTAGTTTAGTAGAGATGGGGTTTCACCATGTTGCCCAGGCTGGTCTCCAACTCCTGAGCTCAGGCAATCCACCCTCCTCAGCCTCCCAAAGTGCTAGGATTACAGACGTGAGCCACCATGCCTGGCTATTTCAAAATATTTTTAAATATATCTTATTATTTCTCCTTCAAGTTGTAGCATGTTCTTTGCAAATAAGGACAGTGAACCTAAATAGAAGAAGTGTAATGCTTTCATGAAATATTAAAGGAAGTTGTTTAGGCTTGTGAGACTAGTCTCCATCTCATAGCCCAGCAAATAATATTCTGAAGATTCACATCTGGAAGTGTGAGGCAGATGGGGAACACAGAGTTAGAAAACACAGCCCAGGCTTTCAGCTTCACCAGAGGGATGTCACCTCCAATGGGGTCGTACCTGCCTGCTGCCTAGAGGTTTTCAGGGCCCAGTTCAGATCCCACACAGCAGTGTTCCTATCAGTAGTGGTGAAAGGTAAAGGCTGGAGGCACTGTCGATGTGGAAGCTGTGGATGCCAGCTGTCCTGCCCGACCTCTTTCTCTGGAGGTAGGAGCACGTCCTCAATATTCCGTGTATACAGGGGTCACCACTCACGCCACTGCTCACATGTAGAGTCTTTGAAGAAATTAGATTTGCTAATTGATTTTTTGTTTGTTTGTTTCCCCCACAGGAGGGGAAAGGAGGAGAGGGAAAGAGAAGAGAAACAGAAGTTGAACATTTCTCTCTACTGGCTTCCAAGCCCCAAGGAATGCCACAACCTGGAACTAGGTTCCAGAACTACAGAATCCAGTTCCTAGAACCACAGAATCCATGATCTTTCTGCTACCAAATGGAGCAGAACAACAAGAAAAAAAGAAAATTGTGGCCAAAGATTCAGAAATAGGAATCACAATTTCACAATAAGAGAAAGATTTCGTTCTAGTTTTTCATAGGCTGAGTGAAAAAGAGGAGCAGAGAGCTGGTGCTTGGGTCACCACATTTATTCACACATTTACTCTTTCACTCAGTTTTTTTTTTTTTTTTTTTTTTTTTTTTTTTTTTTTTTTTTTGAGACGGAGTTTCACTCTTGTTACCCAGGCTGGAGTGCAATGGCGCGATCTCGGCTCACCACAACCTCCGCCTCCTGGGTTCAGGCAATTCTCCTGCCTCAACCTCCTGAGTAGCTGGGATTACAGGCACGTGCCACCATGCCCAGCTAATGTTTTGTATTTTTAGTAGAGATGGGGTTTCACCATGTTGACCAGGATGGTCTCGATTTCTTGACCTCGTGATCCACCCGCCTCGGCCTCCCAAAGTGCTGGGATTACAGGCTTGAGCCACCGTGCCCGGCCAAAGTTTAACTTTTATATGAGGTCATATTTGTAACATACTCACAAATATGCACTTAATAAAATACTGAGTGAGCCGGGCGCGGTGGCTCAAGCCTGTAATCCCAGCACTTTGGGAGGCCGAGGCGGGTGGATCACGAGGTCAAGAAATCGAGACCATCCTGGTCAACATGGTGAAACCCCATCTCTACTAAAAATACAAAACATTAGCTGGGCATGGTGGCACGTGCCTGTAATCCCAGCTACTCAGGAGGTTGAGGCAGGAGAATTGCCTGAACCCAGGAGGCGGAGGTTGTGGTGAGCCGAGATCGCGCCATTGCACTCCAGCCTGGGCAGCAAGAGCAAAACTCCGTGTCAAAAAAAAAAAAAAAAAAAAAAGTTAAACTTTCATACCAGCCATGTAAAGTAGGGATGATCCACTACATTTTACATAGCAGCCGGCCCAGGTTTGGAAAGGTTTCCAAAGTTCTCTGCTGTAGACACTGGGTAATTAACAGTAGATAAGACACAGGCCCTGTTCTTAAGGGAGTCATCATAGAGGGAAGACAGATGTATCAACAAATTAAATGCTCTAAGTATTGGACAGAAGAAAACAAAGAAGGCAGAGGCCTGAGCCACACAGAAACACTTTGCAAATGTCATGTCCCTGGGCTGAGTTTAGAAAAGACAAGATATTTACCAGAGAGGCAGAGATCACTAAGATAAAATTTTACTTTTAACTAACAAAATTAAATTAATCTTTTTAGAGGCAGAATCTCACTATATTGTCCAGGCGGGAATGCAGTGGCACAATCATATCTCACTGCAACCTCAAATTCCTGGGCTGAAGCGATCCTCCTACCTCAACTTCCCAAGTAGCTAGGAATACAGCCATGCCACCATGTCTGGCTAATTTTTTAAGAAAATTTTTGTAGAGATAGGATCTCACTGTGTTGCCCAGGCTGGTCTCGAACTTCTGGCTTCAAGTGATCCTCCTGGCTTGTCCTTCCAAAGCACTGGGATTATAATTGTGAGCCACTGCACCTGGCCTGGAATATAAAATACTGTGTAACGTAGTAATAGTAATATAGGCGATGTCATTTATTGAGTACTTACTATGTGCTAAGTGTTCGGCTAAGCCTGGTTTAGACATTATCTCAGTTAACCTTCCTGATGTCCCCCAAGATGGATATTGTTACCTCCATTTTCTCCTAGGAAGAAACTGGGGCTTGGTGAGGATGATTAGGCATTTGCTAGACGTCTATTCTGTACCATCCCTGTACTAGGCCCTATGGATACAGAGAGAAATAAAGACACAGTCCCTCACCTTACTGGACTCATAGTCTGAAAGAGAGAGAAGGTTGTGTAAATCAATAAATGCATTCATAGAGATCTGCATGGAATCTGAGAAAAACCAAGGCAGGTGAAGCCAGTATGCCAGCAGCCCTTTGGGTCAGAAGATCTTTCACTGAAGGGCACAGGCATGGGGCTGGTTTGCCAAAGGATCGGCAGCTGGGCTGAGGGGCTTAGGCTTTATCATTTGCGCTTCAAGGCAAAAGGAAGTGACCTGGTCTGTGCTAGAACAGTCCACCTGTCACAGCCAAGAGGAAAGATGGTGCAGATGGTCTGGGCACAGTGGCTCACACCTATAATCCCAGCATTTTGGGAGGCCGAGGCAGGTGGATCAGAAAGTCAGGGGTTTGAGACCAATCTGACCAACATGGTGAAACCCCGTCTCTACTAAAAATACAAAAAAATTAGTCGGGTGTGGTGGCGTGCGCTTGTAATCCCAGCTACTTGGGAGGCTGAGGCAGGAGAATCACTTGAACCTGGGAGTTGGAGGTTGCAGTGAGCTGAGATCGAGCCACTGCACTCTGTCCTGGGTGACAGAGTGAGACTTTGTCTCAAATAAATAAATTAGTTAATTAATTAAAATAAAAACAAGAAATGGTGCAGATGGCTGTTTGCCCAAACCAAGCAGCAGATAAGCAGATTTTGGGACATATGGGTCATCCCTCAGTCTTATGTCTTTACTTGCATCCTGAGTGGAACCCTAGGTGACCCCCTTGGAGACTGTTAACTTTGTAAAAGGGGATGAAGAAGAGGTAAGAGGGAAAGAGCTCCAGCTTTGGCATGAGAAAATGTGGGCCTTTGAATCACTGCCCTGCTTCACCATGGATGTATGACTCAGCACAGTAGCTGTGCAGTTCGACCTTTCTGAACTTGCTTTCTCAACTACAGAAAGGGAATGCCTACCTAGAAGGGTTGTTGTGAGGATTAGATGAGATAATTTATGCAAAGTTCTTGGCACAGTACTTCTCACTTTGTAATTGCCACAAGCTCTTATTGTTATCATTGCTAGAAAGTGTACTCTTCTTCGGCTGGCACAGTGGCTCACGCCTGTAATCCCAGCACTTTGGGAGGCCAAGGCGAGTGGATCACCTGAGGTCATGAGTTCGAGTCCAGCCTGGCCAAAATGGGGAAACCCCGTCTCTACTAAAAATACAAAAAATTTAGTCAGGCTTGGCAGCCAGTGCCTGTAATCCCAACTACTCAGGAAGCTGAGGCAGGAAAATCACTTCAACCTGTGAGGTGGAGGTTGTAGTGAGCCGAGATCACACCATTGCACTCCAGCCTAGGCAACAAGAGTGAAACTCTGTTTCAAAAAACAAAAAAGTATGCTCTTCTGAAACCAGAACACATTGAGCACCTGCACACATTGAGCACCTGCCAGGTACAAGGCACCGTATGGGGCAGATAAGCAGAGCATTCTCTCACCTTCCCTTTACTACCCCAGCCACTGTCAACTCTTCAACTGCAGTTCCTCTAGGAACAACACTTTCCTATTTCTGGACCTTTTGTCTGTTGCTGCTTCTGGACCTGAAAATGCCTTCTCCTTGCTCCTCTTTATTAACTGCCAACATTACTAATTCCTGCTCTTCCTCCAGGACCCCGCTTAGACGTCCCCTCCTCTTGGGAGCCTTCCCTAATCTGCCAGGAGCCAGTTAGGGACAAGTGCTCCACTGCATTCTGCTCCAACAGCATTTGGTGCCACCCTGTTATGGCAGCAGTTACCATAGCAGGTTGTAATTGCCTGTTTACCTATCCATCTCTACCATTATCCCCCATGCAGCAAGAAGGGCTCCTTGTTTTCTAAGCCCAGGACAAACTGCATTTCTGTCTCTCAGGACCATTTGTTGCACAGTCCAAAATCATCCCTGCATGGACCTTTCCAGAAATTACTGAGGACTCAGAATGGTAGGCCTCTCAGGATGTTAAAGATGAAAAATCCTGTCTCTGCTCTTTGTAAATATTAGAAAGGAAAATTATGGCGATGAATTATTTGCCCTTTATAAGGGAAAGGGGGTAGAGCATCAAAGAGAACTAACATTTAAAAAGTATTTGCTTTAATGTGGGATAAAGCAAATGAGTAATTGTGTGATATTCTAATTCCGTCATTCCTACTGTTGCTGAAAACCCATATTCTCATCATGGAAGAAGAAAAATTCAAATGTTAAACTACAAAAGATGAAGTTAAAATGCTATAGTCCTGATTTTGAATTGCTTATGACTTGATGATGAATTATCTGTTTTAGAACACACAGTTGCCTAAAGAACAGGAGGGATAGCTAGAGGGGCTAGGAAGGAAATTGGAAGGGGTTACAAAGAGACCCCTTTGTAAGAAAAAAGGGGTGACGAAACTTTTTGGGAGTGACGGATATGTCTACTATCTTGATTGTGGTGAAGGGCTCATGGGTGTATACGTACCTAAACACACTTTAAATATGTGCAGTTTCTCATATGTCAATTATACCTCAATAAAGATTTGTTAAAAAATGAACAGGCCAGGCATGGTGGCTCACACCTGTAATCCCAGCACTTTGGGAGGCCAAGGCAAGAGGATTGCTTGAGGCCAGGGGTTTGAGACCAAACAGGGTAAAATAGTGAGACCCTGCCTCTTTGTATAAAATCTGTCTTTCCAGCCAGGTGCTGTGGCTCATGCCTGTAATTTCAGCACTTTGGGAGGTCGAGGCAGGTGGATGATGAGGTAAGGGATAGAGACCATCCTGGCTGACATGGTGAAACGCTATCTCTACTAAAAATACAAAAAGTAGCTGGGCATGGTGGTGTGTGCCTGTAACCCAGCTACTTGGGAAACTTAGGAGAATCATTCCAACTAGGGAGTCGGAGGTTGCAGTAAATGGAGATCATGCCACTACACACTCCAGCCTGGCAACAGAGTGAGACTCCATCTCAAAAAAAAAAAGTAAAAGAAAAGAGAAGAAACAGATATACAAAAACATATACAACTTTTGCCTTTTATTTTTGTTAATCAATACTTTGAATAAAGATGGGAACTTTGGTTTTTTATTTTTTGGTTTGTAATCCTACAGATTTTTTTTTTCTTTCTACTTTTCTGGTTTTTTTTTTTTTCTGTAAATCTACGGTAAACCCCTTTAGATTAACGCAAATCCTCACACTGCAGAATTAGTATCTTTCAGAATATTCCCTCTGCTGAGGCAAGAAACACAATATTTGAAATGTCTATATAAACTAGAAATACAAGGGAAAAAAAAGCATAACAAGATTGATGGAACTAG